AAGCTTATGGTAACACAGGAACCTTGATACCTTCTTTAATTATTTATTTGCTGCGCACATGCAGTAACTGCGTGATGTAAGGAAAATCCTTAGCCTGGTTGGACGCTTTTTAAAATTGTGAACACTTTAAATAGTAACACCCTAATATGCACCGAATGCCCTCATGAATGATCAATCTTTATGACATTACACTTTACATGCTAGTTTTTGTATTAAATGTGTGATTTTCCTTCTGATTTAGATCTATTAGAAAAGAACTAGATTTTTTCTTCAGAATTCCTCTTTTAGCCCCTGAAATTTACTTGCCCATGGACAAGTTAACTGCAGAAATTTTACTTGCCCGGTGCCCTTAACCTAATTCAAAGTTAAATAACTCCTCCTACAGTATTTTTGTTAATCATCATGATAATCCAGTGTCAACCTCTTGACAAATTATCAATTAAATTTCACATCTACTGGATATGCATTGTGTATATAAATGCTGTAGGTAACAAGAGCCATGTCAACATGGCCATCCCCCGCCGAATGTGTTTGCTCATTGGAAGAATGTATATGTAGTAGAGCAGAATAATTCCATTTTAAGAGGTCTTTTGTTAATGAAAACTGATGGCTATAGTGATTACAGATTTGAAACCTATGTGAATACTGATGGCTGAAAATAACAAAGGGCAATAACTGAAAAATAATGCAGGGTAGGTTATCATTCTTGTGTGCTGCATCCCTCCTCAGTAAAATCTATCCACCTATGAAGTTTCAAGATGATACCTCAAATACTTTGTGAGAAAAAAATTGAATTGAAAAATTAAGTATGAAAAATAACAAAGGGCAATAACTCAAAAATTATAAAAGGTAGAGTTATCATTCTTGTGCAGTGCACATCTCCTGAGTGAGATCTATGCACCTATGAAGTTTCATTTTGATATCTCAAAGGCTTTTTGAGTTATGCTATGGACAAAAATTAATTTTGAAAAATAACAAAGGGCAATAACTCAAAAATACTGCAGGGTAGAGTTATCATTCTTAAGCACTGCACTCCTCCTCAATGAGATCCATCCACCTTTGAAGTTTCAAGTTGATACCTCAAATACTTTTTGAGATTAGCTCTGGACAAAATAGCATGAAAAAAAACAAAGGGCAATAACTCAAAAAATGTATAGGGAAGAGTTATCATTCTTGCGCACAACATTCCTCCTCAATAAGATCTATCCACCTATGACATTTCATGTTGATATCTCAAACACTTTTTGAGTTATGCTCCACTCAGGTGAAAAATTAGGTATGAAAAATAACAAAGGGCAATAACTCAAAAATTATGAAAGGTAGAGTTATCATTCTTGTGCACTGCACACCTCCTGAGTGAGATCTATGCACCTATGAAGTTTCATGTTAATATCTCATAGGCTTTTGGAGTTATGCTCTGGACAAAAATCAATTTTGAAAAATAACAAAGGGCAATAACTCAAAAATCATGCAAGGTAGAGTTATCATTCTTGTGCACTGCACTCCTCCTCAATGAGGTCTATCCACCTATGAAGTTTCAAGTTGATTACTCAAATACTTTTAGAGATATGCTCCGGACAAAAATGTCGGACGGAAGGACGGACGGAAGGACAGAAGGTCGGACGGACGGAGACTATTTCTATATCCTCCGCCGAAAATTTTCGGCGGGGGATAAAAAAAATTTTGCTGCAACTGTATGACGTCACGCCACATGCTATCATTTAGGCGACCAATATAATTAAGTTTCCTATTCAAGGCCATCGTTGGATGTTGCCAGCCGTTGCATTAATCTGATATTCTACAGCGTATGCTACATTATTTTTATGTTCTCTTCAGTTACATGTCAGGTTTTTTTTTTATTGCTATATCGCCCATTCTCAATAAAATAAAGCATTTGAAGTTGAAAAATATTAAAAATTTGATGTTGTCACCGTGTCATTTTTTAAAAGTCTAGGGTATTCTGCAAGTTTGCCAGAAATATTTTCAACAAGAAACTATAATATAGTTAACGGATGGCATTTATTTTGGTAATGACACTCACGGTATTTCCCTCGGTAACGTTACGAGATTTCCGATCAAATAATGTAACTTATTGGCTGCATATAAATAACAAATGTCTGTAAAATATATCAAAATCTATAAATTCTCTATCTAAAGCGACTTTCTAACCCAGGAATATTCAAGAAAGTTGGGTTGCGACCTTGTTTTGTATTTTCAGTTACGCGGCAAAATCAGTAAAAAAATGCTTAGAATCACTTAAAAAGCATGAATTTATAAAAAAAATTATTTGAATAATTATAAGATTGAAATATATTTCATTCGTGAACACCAGCTATTACATTTTCACTTGTGGCTATGCCACTCGTGAAAATATTGCATCTGGCGTTCACTCAGTGAAATTATATTTCAATCTTACATGCAAAACAAACAAATATCCTGTATTTATTTTACCCCATATTTTAAACAGTTAAACTGATAATTTCATGTTCTGACAAGTGATTCGGTGATGTCGTCAGCTGAAACTGTAGTGACATCATATTCTGTTACAAAAAATTCTACTAAAGCCACTGAAGGGCCGTCAATTTACATACCACGGTACAATAGTGCTCTCCATTTAAGCTCATTCAAAACATGACTGACTGACCATAGATGTTTCTAATTTAAATCATTCAGTTATCCTTTGAATGACATGTGTTTTTTAAAGTAAAGATGTGACATTTTAATTAAACACAATTCAATCAAGTAGTAAATACAAGTTTATGATTTTCGTTTGTACAATTCGCTGGAAATAATAAGAACAATGGTACCGTACCATAGGGGACCATCCTATGGGATATTTTGATAAAAATACAATAAAAAATTAAAGTAAAATTCCTGGCAGGTGCATGATGTCTTAGTATGAGGAACTTGAGGCTGTTTATGCCTTATACCTTGGAATTATGGATACCGCGGAAATATGAGGCACCAGTATACCAGTTGTCCCATCCGCGTTTATTGTTAATTATGTCAAACCCCTCGCGGGGACGTAGACATGTGTTTAAATATTACAATATTTTTTTATAGTATTTAAAAGCATCTGTGAAAATTTGTTGTAAATGTTCATTTACCTAAACACATGCTTACTCAATCAATTATTATACTGGTGCCTCATATTTCCATGGTACCCATATTTCCAAGGTATTAGGTATTAAACAGTCTTATTGGGTGCCTCATACTGACTTCATGAACCTGCCAGTAGTTTTATTTTTACTTTTTTATTGTATTTTTATCGACATGTTACATATATACGACTGGAAAAATTATTATTTTATTCATATTAAGAGCAAAGTAATTTATTTCACCATTTTACTTTTAGATTTCGATCATACCTTTTAAGACAATTGTCTTTGTTTATAAACAACCATTGAGATATTTGATTAATGCCCAAGAGAAAATCCCCACTTTCAGAGAAGCCAAGTATACTCATAATAGGTCACAGTACTAAAAATAAAGATTACTATTGGTTTTGCAACTGTTAAAATGTAATTGCCTTGAAAATATCATGCAGTGGCGGATTCAGGCCCGGGCTTCAGGGCTGCATGCAGCCCCCCAGCTCAGCTCAGATATGTTAACCAGCTGGGCTGGAAAATATTTTTGTCAGTTTCAAACTGTATTGGCTGTAAGTGTTAACTAAGTAACCCCCTTATCAAAACATTTAAAGCTGTCATCTAGTTGTTAATCTCCTCGCGGCCTAGGGGCTTGACAGAATCTTTATCTATCAACATGCTTAAATGACTTCAATGTTTAAACTGCATAATTGATTGGTTTATTACTTTCCCAAGCTCTAATGAAATTAATAGTCACAGATAGTGGCAAATAGATACAGTTAGTACACCATATTAGACTATAGAATGTATATTTGTTTTTCCATTTTCTTTGGGAAAGCCCTATAATTAAGTAATTGAAAATTATGATTTGTAAATTACAAGGTGACTAGTTTTATAAAGATAATATTAAAGGAATCATGATTTAATAACTAGTTTGCTTTTAATAACTTTATATGGCAGTTATATTTTTTTTAAATAAAATTTTAACTGTACTGACCTCTTTAGTCATAATCTATAATGGATTCATTGATGGAAAAAATCTTATTGAATATTAGTGTTTGAAATTTTTTTGTACTATAGAAAGTATTTTATATAACACTTTATTTAGGAAAATCGTCTACTATTCAGATGAGTAAATTGATCGAGTGTTTGAAATTTATTTTATTAATGGTCGTGCATACATTGGTAATTAAGTGTACTATTATTTTGTAAATGCTTACTACGTAACACCAGGGGAATGCTATTTGAAAGACCCTGCAAAAACTTACCTATACAAAATACAATGTGATGTTAAAGTTCACCCAAAAGGTACCATAAACAGCACAAGAAAGTCAAGGAAATACCACCATTTCAACCTCATATTTCAAAATGTTCTCAGTCTATGGGAGGGGACACCCCTCCCAGGTCCACCCAATGACATACATTTTTCTTAATTCCAGATATAATATTCTTCTAAATATTTACACAAACAGTAGTATACACATGTATAAAAAAAGTACATTGCCACTCATAAGATGAGCTATAAAACACATCAATTACAATTTTTGTCACATGATGCTGGTCCAATTTTCACCTTCATGTGTTTTTGTCAAAATCTTCCACCCATATTTCAGCCCCCCCCCCCCCAGAAAACCCTGTTCTGTATCCGCCCCTGATATGAGAACAATACTTAACTCACTAGGCAGCAGATGGGTGTTAATTACATTACTATGTTGTATACATAATTACATGCAAACATTATTTAAATGCAAAGACATAGATAGCATGTCTCTAGCTGTGACCATAGGGACCGGGCACAGTGTTGGGATAGTGTAAAAAAGTAATTTTAGAAAAAAAAATATAGTTTATAATTATGTAATATATAGACTATATATTATATATAAATTATTTTTTTTTTCTTCTAGAATTACTTTTTTACACTATCCAAACACTGTGCCGGGTCTCTTTGGCTGTTAGTGTTACATGGAATAATTTATGCAAAGGAACTTGAAATTCTATCAAATAACCAATATTAATGATAATATCCAAATATACCCCCTCTATACTATAAATAAACAATGTTTATTTATAGTATATAGGGGGTATATTTGGATAAATATCATTAATATTGGTTATTTGATAGAATTTCAAGTTCCTGTGAATTTATGATGCAACAATCATTCCAAATAATTAGAATAATTTATGATGCAACAATAGTCCACGTGTTCCCAGAATTTTATCTTTTTTCACTTTTGTTGTCTGTATAAAACAGTTAAGTACCACGAAAATATGAATTGGAAAAATTGTAATTAATGTGCAAGCCCGTAAAGAGGAAAGGCAGCTACGGGCCTGAGAGCCATGAGAGCTAGCCATTCCTTTAGTCAAAATATATTGACGTGCCAAAGCTTGATTCTGAGATATTTTCGTTCTGGGGCAGAATCTCGCTTTAGGCGAGATATTGCCCAGACACGAAAATAGCACAATATCTCGTCGCGCAGTACAATTAGTTGGACTAGCCATTCCTTGTTAAAACCACGTGTTATCAACTAAACAAACAATTGAGACACACGTTCCACCAAATCATTTGTAATCATGAAGAATTTAACTTAACTTGTCATTATTATGAAGCTGAAACTATTTAAAGTCGCTTACCTCACGTGAAATAATCACTGAAATTATATGTGATTCCTTTCCCGTCCCTTTCACGTTCCTTTCCCGTTGCAGTTAGTGAATGGACTGCGCGTGCGCAATCGATTTACTGACTCACATACTGTTACGTGATTTTCACAACTTACGCACTGAGAATCGACCCTTTGATAAGGCTAGCGGTTACGTCACGCTTTGCTACTTTAACTGTACTGATCAGGGGAAGTAACCGCTACGGGGAGTTTGAGTAGTCTGGATTCCCTGCCCTTTTCTCTCCGTACTAAATTTTATAGTACGACGAGAACCAGACGACTCGGCGTAAAAATACAATATTTTAGATTAAAAAAAATAATTGGCATTAATTAACTTACGATAATGTTAAATGTTCATATTCAAGACCGATGATATTGTTTCCAATAACCATTGTTTACATTTCGCTAATATCACCAGTGGCGTAGCGCGGCCAAAATTAAATATACGCCTTGGGGGTGGGTAAAGGGAGGGGGACACCCCCTACCTTTGAAAATTTGGATTTATAGATGCAAAATAACGCAATCTGGAGACATTTGACAACATATTTAATTCCCTTCTTATCTAATAAATAGAGGATATTGAAAGAGTGTAAGTTTGATACTGAATTTATTTAACGAGTTAAATAAATGATATTATGTGAGCCTCTGGCGAGCATACTATTATTTTATTCAACTCGTTCAATACATTTAGTAATGAACTTACACGCAATTAATATTCTATTTAACAAAGATAGTTTGAAGTGATAAAGAAACATTTTTCATTGAAGCGCCTATAGTATAACTCATTTAGCGCGTCTTAGCGTTATGTTTATGTAACGCAAATGCATGATGTCTTGTCAAAATATATGCCAGTGCAATACCATTTTTACGGAGTCGCAAAATCGCCACGGGTATGTGATAAATTTCATGATGATATCTATGCCGAGATGGTTATTCTCTGAAGACAAATGCAAGGCGCCGCAAAATCAAATATGTACTCAGAGTTAATTTTCATGTCTCTGTAAATATTCATTAGGCCAAGCCCAGACAGCCGTTCTGTAGTCATGGTAGATCTTAAGTATGTTTTCAATCTCTTCATGGTGCTGAATGATCGTTCAGCTGTAGCTGTAGACACTGGCATAGTGAGCAGTACTAACAAACAACGACGGACATTGGGATAGTACTGCTCATTAGCCAGTGGTAATGTTCCTAGAAGTGTCTCAGGAGCTTGTGGACGGACATTCTTACCAGAGCTACATTATGGGGTTTTCTTTTGTTATTTTTTTGTTCTTTTTAACCCCACAATGCAGAAAATAACCCCACAAGAGAAACGGAATGAATGACATCAAAGACATCTATTGTTATGAGAACAATAGACCAAACCCCATAATGTAGCTCTGGTTTGTACGGTCAAACGCAAGTTCTCCATCTGTCCACCATGTAACCCACTTTCTCACTTCCCTGGTAAAGGTAGCTTCATCCGTACCCCCTAGACAACCTCTATATGCTTCATACAGACGCAGTATATCGGTTGTGTGTATGGCTTTCTTCTGAATCTGTGAACAAAAATCGTAATTGTATAGCAACCCTTTACACTTAACCTCAAAATGAATGACGCTCTGTTTAACTGCAAAGCCAAAAAAATATCAACTGGGTAATTACAACAAATAACTACACTAAATCAATTTCCGCAGCCATAAATCAATTCCATTAACATAGTTCACACTTACATAAAATGAGCGTATATGAAATGAGCGTTTATTTAGATTTGGCAAAGTAATCAATATAAAAGTTCAATTACTTGGGATGGAAACAAGATTCTGGGCGAGGTATCTATCGTTGTTCTGTGAACGGGAGGTACATGTTCAACCGCCAAAACTCTGAGGGTGTAGCTGCTGGAACATTGGGGCGATTTCGTTGACGACCGTTACTTCTGGGCAACTGGGTCAACCCCCACTGTCCTTGCTATATTCACATCCTTATCATACAATGCTTCCCATACAGTTATATATATCATTTCTCTCGTTCTGAAATGCAAGTACATCAGGACAGATATAGAATTGCAAACATTTACCGTAATTATGGTATATGTAACACTAAATGACCAAACGGACCTTCGGATTTACTATAAATGTGTATATACTGAATTAATTCTATGGCCGTATATAATATTATAAAACTGTTTATTGATATATTTGGTAATACAGTCCATGTACAATTATTTTGTATCAAATGCAATGCGACATCAAACTATTTAGTGTAGCAAGTACTTGAAGCATCACTTTCTGCGTCTTAGCCTCTTGTGAAGCTTTTAGAAGATCACACGTTTTCTCCTGTAAGTTGTCGGACAGCTGCACAAGCGACTTTATACAATGTTGCGTCGTCACTAGAGTGATTTGAAACCGATAGTAAGTAGGCAGCAGCTTTTGCGTCCCCGTCATCTGCAAGGAACTCCAATGCACTTACTACGGTGCTTGAAAAAAAAAGATATATTAAGTTATTCAATATTACACGAACCTTGTTTTATGTAATTTGTTACAAGTTGCCGATGGGCTACTAGTATACGGGAGGATATAGCCTGGATGAGATAAATATGAACCGAGGCTGTATGGTCAGCAACTTGTACATGTAAAATGCAGATTGTTATTGGCGGCAAATTCATTTAAAAGTAATATTACACATCTTTCATTTCAGGACCGCGGGAAAGGAGGCCCGTAAATAATATGGCTTCGGACGTTTAATGGCTACGCGAGCGCGCAATTAAAAGTTATTCAAGTCATCATTGCGGTTGTACAGTTTTGGAAGCAATGGCATTTGAATTGATTAATATACCATAAAAAACAGTAATAAATTTTATCCAGACACATAAATAGTTAACCACCTACGTTGGAGAAAACATTGTTTTCCGTGATTCAAGATATATAGGGCATACTATGTAAAGTGTTTACAGCTGATCAGAGTTCAAAAAATTTATTTGCATTATTAAAAATTATGATACATTTTATATGCTTTATACATAGTCACAGAAAGTTATACTCGAGCTTAAATAGACAGTACGTAATTCGAAATAATTGAATACTTCGGACCTGTAACGAACTTTTTAAAGTTTGTTATTAATTAATAATGAATCCGAATTAACTCATTTATTCATTCATCTAAATCCATTTATTAGTTACTACAATTGTATTTGAAAGTTAAGAAAATATCAATAACCAAGCCGCCTGAAAAAAATATTATTGAGACAGTTACTGTAGTCAATCCACGCCTATTCTGTACATAACGAAAAGAAAAGGTTTCAGACAAAATGCAAACATTCTGAGATGTTTATCTACCTGTAAGAACAAAGGAATGTGTCCGAGCTGTCCATCGTGTGTCACAATGATTGACCAGTTTCGACCTGTTACCCATAGCTTCTGTACTCTGAGGGTCGGTTTCAAGTGTATCTTATGACATTAATAATGACACCAATAAAGAAATTACAGGTTATACTATAAAACTAATATGTATACTCTGAAACGACAGTGTTTACTATTATATTACAGGATAAACTTTGAAACTGCAGGATATACTATAAAACTACATGGTAAACTATATAACTAAAGATATTATGAAACTAAAATGTATACTATGAAACTATAGATACTATGAAGCTACATAAACAGACAAGCCACACAAACACGAATATCAATATTTATTTATTGCATACTCATACGTTTCGGCTATATGCCTTCGTCAGTGCCAAACATAATAAAATTATCATTTTCTATGAAGCTATATATTATGAAACTGATAGAAACAATGAAACTACAGGGTATACTATGAAACTGATAGAAACAATGAAACTACAGGGTAAACAATGAAACTACAGGGTAAACAATGAAACTACAGGGTAAACTATGAAACTACAGGGTAAACAATGAAACTACAGGGTAAACAATGAAACTACAGGTAAACAATGAAACTACAGGGTATACTATAAAACTACAGGGTAAACTATGAAACTACAGGGTAAACAATGAAACTACAGGGTAAACAATGAAACTACAGGGTAAACTATGAAACTACAGGGTAAACAATGAAACTACAGGGTAAACAATGAAACTACAGGGTATACTATGAAACTACAGGGTAAACAATGAAACTACAGGGTAAACTATGAAACTACAGGGTAAACTATGAAACTACAGGGTAAACTATGAAACTACAGGGTAAACAATGAAACTACAGGGTATACTATGAAACTACAGGGTAAACAATGAAACTACAGGGTAAACTATGAAACTACAGGGTAAACTATGAAACTACAGGGTAAACAATGAAACTACAAGGTATACTATGAAACTACAGGGTATACTATGAACGACAGGGTAAACAATGAAACTACAGGGTAAACAATGAAACTACAGGGTATACTATGAAACTACAGGGTAACAATGAAACTACAGGGTAAACTATGAAACTACAGGGTAAACTATGAAACTACAGGGTATACTATGAAACTACAGGGTAAACTATGAAACTACAGGGTAAACTATGAAACTACAGGGTAAACTATAAAAACTACAGGGTAAACAATGAAACTACAGGGTATACTATGAAACTACAGGGTAAACAATGAAACTACAGGGTGAACTATGAAACTACAGGGTATACTATGAAACTACAGGGTAAACTATGAAACTACAGGGTAAACTATGAAACTACAGGGTAAACTTTAAAAACTACAGGGTAAACAATGAAACTACAGGGTAAACTATGAAACTACAGGGTAAACAATGAAACTACAGGGTAAACTATGAAACTGATAGAAACAATGAAACTACAGGGTAAACAATGAAACTACAGGGTAAACAATGAAACTACAGGGTAAACTATGAAACTACAGGGTAAACAATGAAACTACAGGGTAAACAATGAAACTACAGGTAAACAATGAAACTACAGGGTATACTATGAAACTACAGGGTATACTATGAAACTACAGGGTAAACTATGAAACTACAGGGTAAACAATGAAACTACAGGGTAAACTATGAAAATACAGGGTAAACAATGAAACTACAGGGTAAACAATGAAACTACAGGGTAAACTATGAAACTACAGGGTAAACTATAAAAACTACAGGGTAAACAATGAAACTACAGGGTAAACAATGAAACTACAGGGTAAACTATGAAACTGATAGAAACAATGAAACTACAGGGTGAACAATGAAACTACAGAGTAAACAATGAAACTACAGGGTAAACTATGAAACTACAGGGTAAACAATGAAACTACAGTAAACAATGAAACTACAGGGTAAACTATGAAACTACAGGGTAAACTATGAAACTACAGGGTAAACAATGAAACTATAGGGTAAACTATGAAACAACAGGATAAACTATGAAACTACAGGGTAAACAATGAAACTACAGGGTAAACAATGAAACTACAGGGTATACTATGAAACTACAGGGTAAACAATGAAACAACAGGGTAAACTATGAAACTACAAGGTAAACAATGAAACTACAGGGTAAACAATGAAACTACAGGGTATACTATGAAACTACAGGGTAAACTATGAAACTACAGGGTATACTATGAAACTACAAGGTAAACAATGAAACTACAGGGTAAACAATAAAACTACAGGGTAAATTATGAAAATACAATAAACAATGAAACTACAGGGTAAACAATGAAACTACAGGGTAAATTATGAAAATACAGGGTAAACAATGAAACTACAAGGTAAACAATGAAACTACAGGGTAAACTATGAAACTACAGGGTAAACTATGAAACTACAGGGTAAACAATGAAACTACAGGGTATACTATGAAACTACAGGGTAAACTATGAAACTACAGGGTATACTATGAAACTACAGGGTAAACTATGAAACTACAGGGTATACTATGAAACTACAGGGTAAACTATGAAACTACAGGGTAAACTATGAAACTACAGGGTAAACAATGAAACTACAGGGTATACTATGAAACTACAGGGTAAACTATGAAACTACAGGGTAAACAATGAAATTACAGGGTATACAAGCAGTAGTCTAGTGGTAGGACGCGTGCTTAGGGATCGAGAGGTCCCGGGTTCGAACCCCACCAGGGGCACTGCTAATTTCCTTGAGCAAGAAATTTACCTGCGCTTGTTTCACTTCACCCAGGTGTAAATGGGTACCTGCGAGGGTGGTATAAGCTAGTCGTTGCGCCAAAGTGTCAGCTGCACTAAGCGGAGTTAAAAGACTCCCCAGGGAGATTGATAGATAGATACCAGTAGCCCGATGACCAGGGGTAATAGCTGTAAAGTCGCTGAACGTGCGTAAGCATGAAACTTAGACTATAAAATGCAATTACTTTTATACAATGAAACTACAGTGTACACATGTACAATGAATCTTCAGCTAGTGTATAAAATACAACAGGTTAACGGAATTCAGATATTTATTTCTTTTTACCTTTTTAACAAATAAATTTAAAAAACCTGCTATGTATACCTGATATTTCAATAGCCTCTTTGCAGAGTAATTGAAAGCAAATGCCACAGTTTGTACTGTTCCCATCATATTCTTAACGAACGTTTCGCTGCACGCGTGCACGATGGCGAGGTTCAGACAGTGTGCCTTACAGTGTGTGTACACAGCATTAGGGATCTGTTGTTGTATTCTTGCTTGTACGCCTTTTCTCTTCCCAGACATGTTTCCAGCACCATCGTATCCCTGACCAACCATCTGTGCTGTTTGTACACCTTTTGAAGAGAAAATAAGCTTGTTAGAGTATTGTTCGATCCCTGGCAAATTCCTTTCAAAGTTTCTCACCTTACTAGAAGGTGTAATGATCAGAATCCAGACATTCCTTGCTCCTTGCGAGTACCGCTGTTATATAATGCGAGTGCGCTAAAGACCCAATTGGGTATATTCAAAACACCCTTTAAGCTGAATATGTTTCTCTCGAATTTGTCTGCACGATCTGTCAAGCACTCAAACGACTCGGATATTTCGTCCATCTACCTAAGAAGGATTTATTATAAAACGTTTTTGTACTGATATTTTGAAGAAAAATTAAACACTGACTTGAAAACAATTCATATCAAACAGTCCCTTTGCGATTTTATCCGAATACAGGAATAAACCTAGCATCATAATTTTGATTAAGTATCTATGATAATAAATAACAAACCTATTCTGACTAAATTTTCAAGAAACGCATTTGCTAGATATTCTCCTGTAGTACTTGAACATTCAGCAAACCCCAAGAAATCTTCCTGTACTTCATCATTGCAGACGTATCTGGAAATATATAAAATATTTATCAATTAAACCAAAGCATAAATAAAAGTTAACCAATGTTTGATATGATGTAAACTGACTGTGATAAGATTGAATTTAGGAAATAACATAATGATTGTGGACAAAAACAGTTGTGGGATTTTTATTGTAATTGACACAATTTTTATTACCAAATCAATTAATTATTGCTTGTTCTGAACATTTAATATAATTTTGTAGTAATTATTTCAACTCGGGCTCGGCTATAACTTTATATATTACACTTTAGTTTAGTTTATCACAGGATGTGACTGTAATCCCCATACTTTTAGAAAGGGACTAACGGACGACATACCTTTACGCTATAAGCAACATATCTGTGCAGTTTTGTGGAAACCAATGAAAAGATGAGCGGACACAGGACGGACGACGTAGCTTCAATTGTTTTCATTATTAAGGGAAAGGTTATTTGAGATTATGTGCATATTACGTAAAGGTGATGGAATCATTGAAGGTTCTCTGAATGTGCATATCTACAACGAATCAGTTTCAGCATTTAAAAACTTTAAAATTAAAATTACCTGACACATAAAGACATTTGTTCCATCGTTGCAGCATCGGTCGCCTCGTCTGCTATGAGAGAAAACATGCCACTTGAATTGCATCTTTCCACAAGCTTATCTCTGATAAATTTCCCACACAAATCAATTAATTCATTTTGAATAGTAGGTGATGTGTATTTTGTGTTCGGATCCCCATTATCCAGATGGGTTTTCAGAAGTGCATCAGTCTTAGCCTGGTGGTGAAGAAGAGCAATAAAATTCCCTTTACCTTCTTCGTCCCTATGTCCCTTTAAGGGGAGATTTTGCTATCCGCAGAATACTATAGCGTCCACTAATCTCACAAGAACGCCCCTGTTTCTTTTAACCATCTCATTCACTGCGGGCCGAAGCCAGCAGGGTATTGGTACGCGTTTAATTTTTGAGGCATGGAGGAGCACGTGACCTGTTTTCGGTACATGGAGGAGCACGTGATCTGTTAACCGTACATGATTGGTTAATTGACCTATTCGAAAACCTAGCTAAATACCGTTTCCCGGTACGTTACGGATTTACCTGTAGATAATCATTGTATGGTCTCAACCCGGTACGGAATTAGACCGAACCCATTGTAGTCTAGAAAGTAGTTCTTTAAAATTTTGAAATGGCCCAATTTAAGTCATCTCTAGTTAGATTAGTCATAATTAAAGTGTATTTATTGCATGTGTGTAGTTTTTGTGTGTTATATGATGACTTTAAAAGTTGTTTTTTGTGTATCCTCCAGGAACTCATTTGTTGGTGGAAGGATTAAAGATGTACTACCCACCAGCTGTCAGGAGTTTTTAAAGTGGTGAATTTAAACAGTGTCACAACAGAATGAAGATTTCTGAAAAAAGTAGATGGCTAACCTATTATATTTTCGGCCTCATTGGACTTAGAAAGTGTTAATGTTTAAAATTGCAGACAGTATATAATTCATCAAGAACAGTGGAATCCAGAATTAAGCCTCAAATTTGACTGATTTACTATAGAACAAATAGTACGAAAATTCACCGGGCCGAGTCCTGTATACACACCGGTCTCTCGACACAATGCTAGGGAATTAGTCCGAATTACACCTAATTAAGAGCGTAACACTATTACGTGATATGTCTTATTTTCTATTATTATTTTACCGTTTAAGTTGGAAAAACTTGCATGTTGTGTTTGAAAATTATCAATGTTTCTTTTATATCTATCTGAAATTTTACAAACAATAAATTGTTTTAGTGAAAATCCACAGAATTAAAACATTCGTTTGTGGCATCTGCCATAATAGATAGATATATTTTCTGCGTAAACTTGTGTGTTTACTTTATTTTATTTTTTTGCACGGAATTATTCATACAATGGTATTTAATCATTTTCTTAAACAGAAATATTGTTTTATTTTCGACAAAGACCAAAGATCTTCTTCTATTGATCGATTATTGTCAACTATATTCCTGATACAAACATTAATTTATCCCCCACCCCCAAACAATGTCGAAAATAGTTAAATGAAATATCTTGATATCATTAAAAATGTTCCCCGCAGGAAACCATTTTACTTGTTGTATTTTGTATCAAGGACACTTTCTATACTTTTCGATTCCCCCGACTGAATTGCGATGAAGTTGTTGGCAGCCATCGCAGCACCTTCATGGTTAAGGTGCTTATTATGGTCTCTAAGAATTCGTGGTGCATTTGAAAAGTCAGTCAAAGGGGACTTCACAAGAACCTTTCCTCGAGGATCACTCCCCACGAAAAGCGAACACGGAGCACAGAAAAGCCCATTCTCCTTTACCGAATATCGTAGCCAGTTGTAGGTGGTAAACCACGACATTTGTGCCTTACGAGCCTTGTCTCCACTCCATCTGAAACTGAAAGAAGGATAATTAGAATCTAGAAAATTATGTCAATTGATATTATATTTTCGTATTTTATAATGAAATGTGCAACTATTAAGGCTGTAAACGAATTTCGCGTGTGATTTCTTCAGCCATTCTAGTACAACGTATACATTTCGGTGAATTGCACGCTTTTTATTTCGTGAGGTATACATCGTTTCAACTTAAAATGGACCGTTTCTATGAATAGCTTCAACGTTTTATATCAGTTCTATTATAGAACTAGTTAAAAATAAAATAGAATAATATTTGATGTAATTTGATAGACAAAAATACATTTGAATATGATTTAATAACAAATTGCATTGTTTTACCTACTTTAAATTTCATGATCTGCATAAACTTACCTCAATTTAAATGCATACATCGGGCCAATCTGTCTTTTAGGTGACAACGGAGTCAATTATAACTAAAATACCTAAAATGAGATTTTTTCCAAGTAGATTTATTAACCTTTTCTGAATACATTCGTGATTTAATTTTGGAAGCAGATAGTCTTGAAACTATGTTTTTTAACGTTTAAAACGATACTTTACCATTTTTATCCGCTATCCGCGTAGCCTGTCAATTAGCGATAACGCGCCGCCCCCTATTGAGGCACCAATGAGGGAAATCGGTAGTTCCCTATATCCAGGAATTACCGGTTCATTTGTTATTAGTCGATATTACTCGTAATACATGTATCATATAAATACTGAACATCTTTTATGAATATTTCAAAATTGTATCGTCTACCATTTAAGTAGCCATTTTTTAAATTAAGTAATTGTCGGCCGAGATGAAACAAATAATTTAGCATAGCAGTAAATCGCACTACCATGGGGATGGTTAAAACAATGTACCTGCCTTTATCCATAATGTTTGAAATTTATTTATCCCGTAATCTGATAGACATTATATTGAGTTTATGAACTTAAGTACGTATTCAAGAGCTTGCTTTGCATGCAACCTCGTTTTTTCTAACAATGTCAAAAGAAACAGACAACATTTTTATGTGAACGCCTATATATGACAGGTGGTCAGGTGTCCTTTACAAATTTCTAAAAATTTTATTACGATAGACTTCGGATGATTAATTTTTTATGAATCAATGAAAATATATTTTCAGTGAACGGTTTGAATATATTGTTCACTAGTAAATCGAACACAATTTATTGAATGTCCCAGAAGAATCTGAATCTATGTATGCCGAGCATAGATAAAGTTCGGAATAATAAAAGTCAAGAACGTCAGATCATATTGATCGAGAAATACCATTTATTTCTATTAAATTATGTCAAGCATTTATTTTATATGAACTGATCGGACAAAAATATACAATATCTCGTTCTTATTTGTACAATGTACCATGCACGGACTTTAAAAGTCTGTCAGGAGCACAGTTTTTCGTTATTATAATTTATATTTTAACGGAATTTCATACACGAATACACAGGCAGAGTGACACTGATATAATATTATAATAATAATGATGATGATGCTAGATAATGATAACATCAAAATAGAAACAATATGATTACCCGATAGCAGCATGAACGCAAAAGTGTGTTTCATTTTATCCCACTGAGTGCCTCAAATTTTACCGATAGTCACGTGACATGTGCGACAGATACCAGACGGACAGTAAATCACTTTAAGATTTGAAGAAATTCTGCTATAAAATGATATTTATCAGCTGATCTTTAATTGGTCACATGTCACTGGGACATAAAAGTTGTTAGAGTATGTGTTACCGCATCGTTTCACCCCCTTTGGTGTGATATTCGCGTGTTATACAATAAGGGTCTGAGAGAGAACAACCGATTTATGACACTTCGTTTAATGCGCGTCGGACAAACTTTGAATCGGCATAACTTTTTAAATAAACAAGCAAATTACAAGCGGTTTAAAGCACATGATAGGCAATTTAATTACCGAGGGAACCGTGAGGGAACCGAGGGATTTTTGTTTGCTCAATCAGCGACTTTATTATCTTTAATTACGTAATATGTATGGTGAAAAAAGTCGCATAAATTGTTTGACGTTACGTAATAATTTTTTGAGAAAAGATAGAAAAAATCTGAGACACGGTTCCCTAGATATTATAAATTTTTTATATTCCAAGAGTTTATTGACAAAAAAAAATGACGTTGATATGACGATTTATAAAATTATAGAATATTTTATCAAAATCAATAATTTACAAAGGCATTTTTTCAAATATGATATTTTTCATGAAGATCAAAGACATTTAATGCACAAAATTTAAATATATTTAAATGAATACAGTTATTACTAAAATAAGTTGGTTTAAATGACTTTTATGGTAGTAGGTACGGAAAGTGTCCGTTGTCGCCTTAATAAAGTGACTTCCTGTTTATCGTTTAAAACGGTGCAGTTGAAAATATCAACATAAGGAGGCTCATGTTCCTCGGACGTTTTACATGGGGACGCCATTTGAATGTTCCCGCTAGTATAACTTCTTATGTAAACAACATTCGGAATACGATAGGATTCTACGATAAGATACCAAAAAATCAATACGCATAACACTGTCTTACCTAAAATAGTACTAAGTCTAGCTGTTCTACACTTGCAACAAAAATACCGATCGCTTAATAACAAAATAATTTTTGTCAGCAAATCCGCTTTTCTCCGTCAAAACTCACGGCGATGCCTAAAACGGGTTAGAGTACTGATTTTGACAACTGTTTTCAACTTTTGATTTTTTTAAAATTCATTTCGTTTAGTACGCCTACGGCGTGGCTACGCTACTGATCACATAATGACGTATTTGGGGGGAGCTATTCAAATATCAAATTTCAAATTTACATGTGGTGAGTCTGCGTTAGAAACTGTTAACCAATACATGTATCTAGGTCTATTGTTGAACGAATATTTGGATTACAATATCACTGCTAAACATGTAGCTCAAAGTGCAAGTCGCGCTCTTGGTCTCCTTATAGCAAAATTTAAAAATTCAGGGGGTTTGCATTTTAATGTTTATACGAAATTGTATTATACATGTGTTGTACCTGTTATAACATATGGAGCTTCTATTTGGGGTACAAAATCTTATAGTTGTATTAATAGTATTCATAACAGAGCTATGAGGTATTTCCTAGGCACGGGTAAATACACACCAAATGCTGCTGTATATGGTGAAACAGGTTGGAATCCAATTATTGTTGAGCAATGGAAAGCAGTGGGTAACCACTGGCACAGAACTCTTTGTCTTAGAGAAAGTAGAATGAATAAGAAAATTTTCAACTGGGCTTTTAACAAAAAGGGAAAAAATTGTAAAAACTGGTGCTATATTGTTGAAAACTTTTTATTGTCATTAGGACTTGATGTTTATCAATATGTTCATTTCCCGTTTAATCGCAAAAGTATGGTTGATGATTTAACTAAAGCTTTGGTTGATGTTCATATCGCTCAGTGGACAGCGGATATTTCCAGGGAAAACAGTAGCAATGGTTCCGGGA